TGAGAGTAAGCCAAGGAGCTTCAGCGAGTGGCAGAGAACTTCATGGATCTTTCAGGATGTGATCAAATGCCTTTCTGGGAGCACAGCAGTCCCACAAGCGAAGGCAGCAGGGCAAGCACCGCCGTCGGGTGGAGTTCACACCCCTGAAGTGTGGATGGGCCGTTTGCCCAGAAACCAGCTGGAACAGTGAGCACTGGAGAAACACCGGGGCGCTCTTCAGGGAGCGAGCGCGCAGCCCTCATCCCCAGTAGGGCACAGCGTCTGGCTCTCGGAGCCCAGGACATGTAGCAAAGGCTCGGACCAAGGAACGGGGGGAAAAAAGTGCTTTTAGAGCACTAGTGTTGAAAATAGGCCAGTGTTGGAAACTGAAGCAGGGAAGGTTCTTGGGCAGTGGGTTAAACCAACCCCTTTAGGACAAGGCCAGGCGTGGGGAGCGTGGGGCAGCAGGCAAGGAGGACACACTCCAGAGGTTTTGTGCTCCCCTCAGGCGCCAAAGCATCAGCCTGGCGGATGCAGCGCAAACGCCCTCCCAGCCAGCATGCATTCCGTGCTTTCTCAGGGGGCTCACCCAAAACTCTGCCAGGTCCACTTGCGGCACGGCCGTTTTTGCACTCAGCAGGAGGAGGAAGACAGTAACAACCCACGTGTGGCCAAAAGAAGAGAGGTGGGGGCACAAGGCACAAACAAGAGTGGTGGGATCAGCACTGCAGGGAGGGGGGAGCCCTCCTGCTTCCCAGCAGTGCCAGGGGAAGGTCTCTGCCCGGGGCTTAGGGAGCAGGGAGGGGAGTGAGCAATACCGGGGATCAACAACCTTAACTCCAAACAGCAAGGAACAGGAGCGAGAGGGAGAGGGCAGAGAACAAAGGGAGCAGGCTCTGGAGAAGACCCAATGAATTAATTTAACTGCAGTGTCCCACTTCAGAGGCTCGGGATCACCCGTCACGGCTCTGAGTGGGACACTGTGAAGCAGCAGCAGGAGGAACAGCACCAAGTTAGTTTAAAGAGCAAATCCTCATTTCTTCAAAGGAACATCAGCTTCAAGATGAAAGGAGGGTATGAGTATCCAAAGTATTGGGGCATGTCCTCACTCTGGGCTGTTGGAAACTCCAAGAGACAGCCTGGCCCTGGAGGGGGATGCTGACAGATGCAGGTGGCAGAGTGCTCTTCCCTGCCCTCCCCACCAGTGGCTGCCTGCACAAAAGCACCTGAAGCACAGGGCAGGAGCTCCAGCTAAATGCAGGTTTCCTGGGGAGCAGGAGCCAACCTGAAGCCTCAGACAGCCCTGACCTGCAGATACATTGACTGAAGCTTAATTTAGCTCTCCCAGCGGAGCCTGGGAAGTGTCCTGTGGTACAAAGGACTTGCCTGGCCGAGCCCATCAGCAAACAGTGGTCAGGGCTGCAGAAGTGACGTCGTCTTCCAAGGACAGGGAAGGCAGTGGAGAAGGCGCTCCAAGAAGGAATGGGGGACACAGCAAGCTGAGCTCCAGGCTGCTGCCCTGGCACAGCCTCATTGCTTGGCACCACCATGGCTTCTGGGGAAGGCTCTGCCACAAGTCTGGCTCTGCCGTGGCACCATTTGCCGTGTAGGTGTGCATGTTTCTTGCCAGTTCACGTACAGGGATGAGGGCTGCGGGTCCCTGGTCAAGGCTTCCTCTCCAAGACCAAGGCTGACACGATCTGTCAGGAGTCAGCTCCTCCAATGCTGGCGACAGCCAGTCGCTCATGCCAGGATGCTTCACTCCACACATGCCCTGGGGACGCTGCCTGTCCTGAGCTGTGCTGCATGCCAACTGGCTCCTCGCTCCCAAAGGGGTACAGTGTCTGCTTGCTGCTGCTCCACCACAGCCTTCACTGTTCTCCCCAGAATTTCCCGCCCCTCCCCTTCCCTGCTAGGAGCCACTCTCCTTCTCAAGGACATGGGCATCTCGTCGTCCGCTGGGCCTGAACACCCCCCGCCCTCTCGGTGCTCTGGGGTAGGAACCACGGTCCTGGACTCTGGACCTCTCCCACCTCCCACAATCCCAGGGCCTGTAGTGGCCCTGCCAGCTAGGAGTTGCTCTGTGGTCACTGCGGATAAATGTCAGGTTCTCCTTCTCCCTGCCCTGGGCCTCAGCCCCCTCCTCTGGGCTCCATCTCTCCACATCACGGTGTTCCTCTTTCAAGTCCACTGCCTCTGTTACAGGTGAGGGGTCTTCGGGGCACAACTCCTTCCTTTCAGCCAAGGTAACAGCCCTGCTCCTGCTGTGAGGCTTTGGAAACTCCTGGCTGTGCCTTCCACCAGGTCTGGGCTCCGGTCTCTGACTAAAGCCCCTGGTCCCCCTGGAGCCATGGTGCAGATGACAGGCTTCCTCCGACGGTTCTTGCAAGCCACTGCACGGCTGCCTGCCCTGGCCTCTGGGGG